AATTAGAATAGGAATAGATATTGCTGAAAATTAGTTTATATGACTAATTATTAAAAAATATAACCATAGAAGTGTTTTGTACTTGTATATTAGGGAAAAAAATTCAAAATAGAAGAGTCGTAAAATTCCAATCAAAATATGAAAAAATATTTATCAATCAATACTATATAATTTCTAAACTTTGCGAGAAATTTTATTCAAAAACTAAAATTCTTACAAACGATCAGGGTGACTGAGATTATCATTGTAACAGATTAAAATATTAAAATATATACATGTACCGGACGATAGAAAATAAAAAGTATGTTTTATATTTCACTATGTATATCTAAAACCGGAAAATGAACAAAAGGAACGTACGTAACAGAGGAAATCAAATGATAGTGCTGACAAAAAAGAAAAGAAAAGAAAAGAGATCTCTTCCAAACTACTAGAAAAAATCCAAATCCAAAATCATGAGAAAGTCAAATTGATGTGATTAGTACCAAATTAAGTATTAATCTCAATCACAACAAAAGAACAAAATTTACTTTGATTGTATATGGCTTCGTATTTAACATTTGGAAGCTATATTTTAAAAATTTTATATTCAATATCTTATGCAAATAAATATATATGTAGAACTGATCATTTTACCATATGGTTCTTAAGTTTATTTACTTTTACTTTAAGTTTACTTGCTTTTATTTACTTTTACTATCCCCACGTCATAGCAACTGGACGTTGCTCATCCGACTATTGGCGTCCTCCACACAACTAACAATCTCCAACACAACATTTAAGTCTACTACCATAAGGTCCATAACAACAACTGTTACTTCTTTTTGGTTGTCGTCCAATAAAATTTTGAATAATATGATTTTTAGTTATATTAAACAGAGCCCGAAAGATGAGGTGGAGAAGTGTAGTCTAGGCTAAGCTATCAACTATCGAAACCGCAAACTCCTGAAATCGATTCTTGATATGGACTGAGTAAAATTAAAATGTAATTGTGGCTACGGTTGGATAGTTCAAAGTGATAATGAAACCTATTTAATGGGTAGAAGTTGAAAAATTTGCGAAACATTTAACGATTTGGACGTAAGAAAGTTTAGTCTAACTTTAACATCCCAAAGTATATAGATAACACCACATCACTTATGTATATAAACGTTATATTCTAAAACATACTCGTTAGCTCGACTAAATAATCATGAATATTATATTTGATTGGTAATTCTTTGTTACATCGGTCATCAGGCACCGTTCTTTTTTTTCTTACTAATTATAAAGCAGTAAAAATTAGCAATACCAAATACAATATCACCATTGTTTATTTACTACTAGTTTGTAGCACTATCTAATGGTTATTTTTTTTCGACAAAAACTATCTAATGGTTATTAATAATAACTATTCCAACATATAATTTCTTAACAGTAGATTCCCTTATTGTGAAATAATAAAGATCCAAAAGTATTTAATAAATAAAGATCCCCGTATTTGATGACGTATGCAGCAGACACATGCCTACGTTCACAGTAAATATGAGTTACACATTTACCATCTTCATTATTCGGGGCGGACCAAAATTCAAACTTGCAGTTAGAACAGAGGCAGGAATGTTGTAAAACCAATGCTCTCCCTCTTTGCTATAATATCACGTGACTCATTTCCAGAAAAAAAAAACATTCATTCATGAGGAAAAAATGGCATGAAACTTGTAAATAATACTATTCAAATGCTATTCTTAAACTATACCGTTAAACCATGATCCTCTTAATTAATAAAACTCGAATTTCTATGTCTTCAATAAATAAATATTTTTTTAATATATATATATAACGGTAATCAATTTTCAAATGACATTTACTATTTTTCAATACAACAGTATGCGTCAAATATAATATTTCTCACACAATAAATTATCTTAATTACGAAATCTTGACCTTTTATACCGTTTCTTTTTATTTTTTAAATTAGAAGACATATTGGTAGGGAATGCATTTTTCTTTTAACATATCGATATGCATTTATTTTATCAATTAAATAAATAAATTTGGTGTGTATTTAACTAAACAAAGGTCTTTTAAGCAGTTGAGATAGTATGTTTCCAGTTGTAAAAACACTATTTCTTCATTCCACATTCCGCATGGCAACAATGAATCAACCGCGCTTGTGTTAACATAGGTATAACCTTTTAATTACAAGTGCTTGATCATATATCATCCATCACATTTCCATGTATAGGTTGCAACGATAACCCTCAAAACTTTTTTATTTTCTTTTGCATAAATCTCTTTTATTCACATGGAGGAATGACAGTACATGTGTCATTTAGCGAGTTAATGTAAAATTCCATATGCATATATATATATATATATATATATATATATATATTTGAAAGAACATACACGTGAACTTCTTGTAAGTTCGTTTAAGGAATAAATTGAATAAAAAGGTTTTTAAATATGATTTAGTTTTTTTCTTTCTTATAGTGCTTTTGGTTTAAATGTACTTTGGTTTGGGGTGGCGCCCATGTGCTCATCCCCCATCTCCCCCAAGTATCATACTCTTCCTTGAATTCTTCCTTTCTTTTATTTAATTAACAAAGGATAATAGTTTTTGATTAGTTTTATTAATAATTATTACTTTTATGCAGCCATCATTTTACTCAACCCTACTACACTGTCGTATCATAAGCATACATTTTATTTAATCCTGAATGTGATACCAACATCTTTAGAGAGTTGCGATAAAAAGAATTATGTTTATTTGTTGACAAAAAAGTTTGTTACGAAATATTACGGTTTCCATTGAAAAATTCTTCTGCAAAATAGAAATACTGAAGCTGGTGCAAAACATTTTTAATGATTTGACCCTTATTAATTCAAGTGTCGACGTAAATTATAATCATTAAATTTGAGTTTAGCTGAAAATATCAGGTTCGATGAAAAATACGTTAACATGACGATGACTCCCTTGGACCCTTATACTGTATGTACTATTTAAAAAGAATTTTTTTTTTTGCGTAGACGTATTATTTTTCTAGTAAAGTTCAGAATTTTTGTTCTCTCTATTTGATAACATTGGAGAGTGAAAGTAATTACTTTTTTTTAATCTATTTTTTACGTAAGTAGTTAATTTTTCTTTTCGAATTTCTAATATCTATATTAATAAAAGAAACAAAATTATTATTATTATTAAGTGTTGTGTATTTTAAAGTTGATATCCGTACGAAATATAGCATACATATTATTTTGCTATCATTTAAAGTTTAAAGTTACCGTGGTATGTAACTATGTAAACCGAAGGTACATAATACCTACACCTTTTTTCCATTCCAATTATACTGAAATCATTAATGTTTTTATTTATAACAAAACCCATAAAGATGCAACAGTAAAGTAATGAACTTTAATTTACGCGAAAAGAAGAATCTTCCTCACCCACTACCAAACAAGCATTCATGTCTGAGATCTTGAAGAATGAGTTGGTGGTTATTCTACATACCTTTTTCATAATCTTTAATTTTTTGTTTCATTTTAAACTATATGCAATTGCCTTTTGGATATTCAGATAAAAACCTCTAAAACCTTCCTGGTATACGTACAGCACCGTGCCTAAGATAGTAACATCAAAAAGCTAGGGTATTATTAAATACCTTTCTTTTTAATTAATCTTCAAAAAATATAATAATATTTAAAACAATAATTAGAGCATCAAAAGGTAACAATTTTATTTTATTCATGTCAAAAAATTTTAAATTATTATATCAATATTTTGTATGCATTTTTTTCAAAAAGTATTTCGAGATTTTAAATAGAATTTCACTCTTAAAAAATGACAACTATGTGAGTAAGGTCTAAAAGTTTCAATAAATATAATTGAAATTTCAAGATATTAAATAGAAAAATTAATTGATACTAGATACACTGGATAATTAGAAAATAAATGAATAATATTTTATTTTATAATTAGAGGATAATCTATATTTTTATTAGCTAACTAATCTTTTATGAGGTAACTAAATAAGTTTTACGAAAGATAACTTCCCACATTTTTCAAAAAAAAAATTTAGTTTTTTTTGTGAAACATGTTAAAATTTTCTTACAAACCAGTTTCTAAATCTTAATAAATATTTCTTGATTAATGTATTTATGAACATATTTCTAAAAACAATTTGTAAATCAACTCTAAAAATCAGTAAATATTTCCTAAATATTTAGGAATGCCTTTTTACGCCCTAGTATACCATTCCATTCCAACATATTTATAATTACATTATGTTTAAAACCATTTTCTGATATTGAAATATTTTAAAATGTTTAGTATTTTTTTTTCTAAAATTTTTAGAGTTTTTTTTTTGAAAAAGAAGTTGTTTTTCGTAAAACATTATTTAAGTTGATATTTTCATAGTACTTTATGTAAATGATTATGCTTACCTAAATGGGTGAATAGAAATAATAACCAGAACTAACTATTTCTAATAAAATTAATATGATCTATCTAAAATAAAGTTGGTCAAAGTTTAAATTATTAGTTGATCACAGATAGTATGATATATACAAAAATATAACCTTGAATTTATAGTTTGAATAATTAATTTTGGTTTTTTATAGACAATAGTGATAAAGATACTTTAGTCATAAAATATAAATATTTGCTATATTTGAAAACTTAAGTTTCGTGGTTATTGATAGTTGCCATAATTTGCTTATTTCCCCCAAATTATGCTTAATTTTATTCCCAAAACAATAAAGATATTGAAACAACTTTTTAAACTAAAGAAATCTACAGAGTTGGGTAAAAATTAAAACCCATCATCTCTCTTTGACTATTTCTATGGTAAATGAATCTGCCATCTTCTCTCTCATAGCATGATGCCCTTTAGGTGCCTATATAAACAATGCCACACACACCCATTTAGTCCCAAACCAGAGACCCTTAATCACCTCTCTCTTTCCCTATTAAACCGATTCTGCTCGAAAACAGAGTAAACAGAGGGATAAAAAAGAAGAAGATGGGGATAATGATGATGGTGTTTGGTATTCTTCTGATCATCGTTTGCATCTGCTCTGCTCTTCTACGATGGAACCAGATGCGATACTCCAAGAAAGGTCTCCCCCCTGGAACCATGGGCTGGCCAGTTTTTGGTGAAACCACCGAGTTTCTCAAACAAGGACCAGATTTCATGAAGAACCAGAGACTCAGGTACAGCAAGTTTTTTTTTTTTTTTTTAATTTTTTTAGCAAACTCTGCTCGTGGACCACTTGTTCATTTGTGTTGTTTTATCCGAATTTTTCTTCTAATACAAAGACTTTTTTTTTTTTTCTGTTTTTGATGATCAAATCAGATACGGGAGTTTCTTTAAATCTCACATTCTTGGTTGCCCAACAATAGTCTCAATGGACGCAGAACTCAACAGATACATTCTAATGAACGAATCGAAAGGACTAGTCGCTGGCTACCCACAATCGATGCTCGATATACTCGGGACATGCAACATCGCCGCGGTTCACGGCCCTAGCCATCGGCTCATGAGAGGCTCATTGCTCTCTCTAATAAGCCCGGCTATGATGAAAGACCATCTCTTGCCTAAGATTGATGATTTCATGAGAAGTTATCTTTGTGGTTGGGATGAGGTCGAGACGGTTGATATCCAAGAAAAGACCAAACATGTACGTTCTTGCGTTTCTTTCTCTTTCTTCTTCTTTCTTTGTTTTTTGACATTGAATCTGAATCTCGGGTCTATTCCTTTATTGGGGATTTAATGTTTTTTAATATGTCAGAGAAATTTATTATTTTTCGTCAAAAAAGAAATTAATTATTCTCACTATTTTTGGTAAAGGAAATTAGTTACTCCTTCTTTTAATAAATAGTGTTGGTCTAATATTTTTCGCACATATTAATAAACATTTTCTACTATTAGTGTTTTATTAACTTAATATGATATTTAGTTGGATTAATTTTCTTACTTTTAGGTAAAAGGTAAATTATTTGGCGATTTGCTGGGGTATAACCGTAAACTAAGCGATGACTGTAAATCTGTTTTTGTGTGTTTGCAGATGGCATTTTTATCGTCCTTGTTACAAATAGCAGAGACTTTGAAAAAATCAGAGGTTGAAGAATATAGAACAGAGTTCTTCAAGCTTGTTGTAGGAACTCTTTCGGTCCCGATCGATCTCCCGGGAACACAATATCGCTGCGGAATCCAAGTAAGATACTCGAATTCCGTTATCAGTAAAACAAAACAGAAAAATTGAAAGGATCCTGACATTTCTCTGGTTGCGTTTCAGGCAAGAAACAACATCGATAGGTTATTGACAGAGCTGATGCAAGAACGAAGAGAGTCTGGAGAAACTTTCACAGACATGTTAGGTTACTTGATGAAGAAGGAAGATAACCGATACTTGTTAACTGATAAGGAGATAAGAGACCAAGTAGTAACAATCTTGTATTCGGGTTATGAGACGGTCTCCACAACTTCCATGATGGCTCTTAAGTATCTCCATGATCACCCTAAAGCTCTTGAAGAACTTAGGGTATGTTCTTAAGAAACACTTAACCGGATGCTTTGTGTTTTTACGGTTTGATTAAGTTCGGTTATTGACTCTTGGTTTTAATTGCAGAGAGAACATTTGGCTATTAGAGAAAGAAAACGACCTGACGAACCGCTCAATCTCGACGATATTAAATCGATGAAATTCACTCGAGCTGTGAGTATTTTGGTACACAAATTAAATAATTAATATTGTTTTTTTTTTTGGATTTTTACATTGTAATTTAATACTGGACCATTTCTAATAGGTGATCTTTGAGACATCAAGATTGGCAACAGTTGTTAACGGCGTCCTGAGGAAAACTACTCACGACTTGGAACTCAACGGTAAGAAACTATTATAAATTGGATTGTGAATTTTGATATCAGTAGGTTTTTGTGTGTGTGATTTAAAAAGAGAAAAAAATTAAAAAAAAATTGAGCATGTGGACCTTACATTACTTCAATTATTTACAAATATAAACCAACCAATCCAGCGAAGCAATCATCTCCCCGTGACCCTCCATGGTTTTCTTTCAATTATTTTGACAGAGGAGAAGATCAACCTTTTATATTTTACAATCTTAATGATGATTATTTTCTTAGCAATAATAGTCGTTATTTTTCAATAATTACAGGGTATCTAATCCCAAAAGGTTGGAGAATTTACGTATACACAAGAGAGATTAACTATGACACATCTCTGTATGATGATCCTATGATCTTTAACCCATGGAGATGGATGGTTAGTGTTTGCAATATTCTATTTCTTCTGTGCTCTTGTTTTTTACTGCCTGAAACATTCTGGCTCACAGAGAGGGTATTTAACTATGCAGGAAAAGAACTTGGAATCAAAGAGCTATTTCTTACTCTTTGGAGGTGGAGCAAGACTTTGCCCTGGAAAGGAGTTAGGAATCTCTGAAGTCTCGAGCTTCATTCACTACTTTGTTACAAAATACAAGTATGTTCTTAATCCATGTTTCTTTAGTGTGCAAAGATCTGATTTTGTTGTTGGTGTTGTGATTGATGATTTGAGATATCAATGTTTTGATTTTTGTGCAGATGGGAAGAGAAAGGAGGAGATAAATTAGTAGTGTTTCCAAGAGTATCTGCACCAAAAGGATACCATCTTAGGGTTTCACCTTACTGACTTTGTTTTGTCCTAATATTGAAATTATGTATATAAAAAAAATCAAAGAGTCTTTTTGTTAGGGTTAATTAACCTGTTTATCTCTCAAGATCTTAGATGATATGGATTAATAATGTACAGAGAGAGAAGAACATGGAATATAGAAAAAAAAAATATTTAAATTGTTGAGCTCAGTCTCTAATCTTGTAAATTTGCAACCCATAATTTCTACATTTTATAATTATTGTTTGAATCTTGACAAGTTTATTTTATTTGACCTTTTCTGATGGTCCAACAAAAGTCTTTTTGAATAAGAAAATCACTTGTTCTTGAAACAATATGACGATGGTGTATATTACAGAGCAAAAGTTTATCATTTATGATATGATTTGGGCAAAACAATATTGGGCTTACCATGATGAAATTAATTTAATTGGCCTGATTGATCCTTTATATGATTCACGAAAACACAGAGTATTATCTTCTTCTTTTTTTCTCTAAAAAACACAACCCAAGCTAACTACTAAAGAGTTTGAAGTCAAACCCATCCTCTTTTCCGTATTATATCATGGGCCATGTGTTCTATTATTTATTTGGGCCCTAATTTAATAGATAAGAACCTTTCTAAATAATGAGCCTAAGAAACAATTTGTGTGAGAAGTTTTTGGGTCATGTGCAAAAGCACTCTAGGCTTATGCCTGGAACCGAGCACGTCCGAGAATAGCCTCTCTTAGATCATTATGCAATTCTCGAGATGATCTTGATCTTGCTTTTCTAGGCACTAAGCAAACCAGAGCATGGTGCCATCGGTTAACGATACTGTCACTAATAACAAAGTCGCTTTACAACAAAATCTTAAAAGATTGTTGCAAATGTATGCACTTAGAATGAAAATCTCATCAATATGCACGATCGGAAGCAACAAGTATGAGGATGTCCCCATGCTCTGATTTGCTACCCGATGAAGACCATATTACCTTCTCGATCATAAAATGAGTTTCTAACAATGTAATTGATTTTTCAAATTCTCAAAAAATTGTTGCATTCATTTAAACTTTTGGATTCAATTAAAAAAAAAAAGAAATGAAAGAATGAAAACTCTTTCTTTATTAGCTTGCAAATCACAACTCTTCTTGTCTGAAATCGTACTTAGCTCACGGAAAAAGGACGGCTCTTTGCTCAATCTCTCTAACGGGCCTGATATTTCATGGCTCACTATTCACCAAATGATAAGCTGAGGTATCCACTTATGATCCAATTCCACGCAATCTCATAAGCCCAAAAGCGTTTGGTCAAAAGTCAACATAACCACTAAATAACTAAAATATTTTTGTTTGATTCCCTTCACGCCTTGGTTATTTGTGTTGTGCATTGGAAACTACTAAAAAGCTACAGTACATGCACACAGCACACTAGATACTAGATATTCATCGGACACCAGATTTTTAACAATTGGTTCTCCGGTACTAGCTAGTGATTCTAATGTATTTGTACATATGTACGCACTTAGAATCGAGTGGAGCAATGATTTTATAAGTACATTTTTAAGAACACATATGAGCTCTAACTGAGAAGAGTTAAAATGACGTTCTCACATGCAATGCATAGATTAGCACATGAAGAATAAAAATGAAAAATTCTCTTTTGGAGTTTCTTTGTAACGAAAAACGCTGTAATTCGTTTACACGTGAGGTTTTGCGTTAATTGTTTATATACGTTAAAAATCCAGACGTTAGAGCGTCTTCAATTGTTTACTAGAAAAATATAATCGTGTTATTTAAAAATAAATAAATTGTTTGTTCCAATGATGTTTTCTATTTTTACTCTAAAAATTATATTTCAAGTATACTATATTTCTATTTAATAATTATCTTTTTCAAAAAAAACAAATCTATCCATTTGTTTTAATTTTATAAACCACAATTCAATAAATTTATGATTTTATTTAAAATCGAACATTTTCTAATGAACATTATTTATTGGCACTAACACTGACACTTATAATATAATAGTATGTGTATAAATTCTCTTGTTTTTCAACTTTTTGTAAATACTTCATATACTTTAATAATTGAGTCACTAGACTAAACTATTAAATATTTCGTTTAGACGTTACACGTTAGCAACAAGTTTTCAAACCTCTTTCAATGGGTCGTCGTTGCTCTCATGCACCCTCAATTCTTTAAATGTATTTTAGTAAAAATATAATTTTTAATTTCATTACTTTATAAAACTACTGGTGTTTAATTAATTATGTTGTGGTCCTTGTCCTTCGTGTGTGGAAAATGATCGAAACATCTTCTTATTTAAATGTATGAGGTGTCCAATCTTATGATGTCATAACATGATTTGAGGCTGCTTAATAATCCATTTCATAATTTAATGATGTATGTTTTTTTCTTGATTATCACAAAATTTAAGTTTAATGACAACATTCTCCATTTAAAAAGATATTGCTTTTATTTCATAATATAATGTCATTTTGTAGTTCCACTAAAAAAATTTAATCTTAATTTCAGTTCTATCTTTATTCTTGTAGCTCACTAATTAGAGAAAATCTTAGTAGTGAATTACATAAGAAAATTTACATAATATTTTTCATATGAAAATTTTAATGACATTCTTTATAAATTGATTTTTTAATTATAAATCTAAAATAAAAATTAGATTCATCGATCATACATGCGATTTTGAAAATTCCATATTCTGTATAGTAGATCAAAATCGAAAAGATTGGTTATAATTTGTTTTGTATTATTCGATCCTTATATTGATTTGTAAATTCTAGAAAAATTTAGGATAAATTGGATTTAAACCGTATAAAAATTAAATACCCACGGATTAGATAATTGAAACCAAGTGTTTTATTGCCTAGCAATTAAACCGCACTCTGAAAACAGGATTAGCTTTGAAATTTAAATATTGAGAACCAGGCTAAATCATGTCCAACATTCATAAAAGTTTGGTCATGCAGAATTGGTGTGTCACAACATATATCTAGGTTTGATAGCTAACATTCAACCGCGAAGGTTGGAGCTGAAACATCTTGAAAGTTATCACTCAAAGATTTTTGGAAAAGCAATTTGCAATACTCTGACCTAGAAATAAAGCCATGTCAGTTTCTTCGTAAAAATCATTCAGATTTAAGCATATACTGTATACACAGAAAAACGCAATATAATATGAACAAAATACTCTTTTGAAAACTCTCCAAGAACACAACGAACGTCTACACCAAGTAAAAACGCAATATAATATGAACCTAACAATTGACATGCTACATTTATTCACAAATCTAAGAAGACAACGAATGTCTTTCAAATAACCGAAGATTTGCAACTCTGGCGTGTAACTTCATTTATGTTTTATAAAGCCATTCATTAAAAAAATGAAGTTACGAATAACAACACCAAAAATGATTAGTAAAACAGGTATACGATTTTCGATCTGAAGAAATTGTGGACAAAAATACCAGAGTTTTAAAAATACTAAAAAAAGGTTGCCGGAGATTTTCTTATCCGTCGTTGAACATTGATAGTGTTAAAGCAGTCAGCAATCTAAGTAAAGAAGTACAAATGGGTCCATCACTATGTACCATGATAATCTTTCTAGAAGCTTTTTGAATTTTTAAACGAATTTTAGTTATTTTCATTATAACTATTATAGTAAAAAAATTGTGTTCAAGAATTGTAGTTCAAAAACTTTTCCTCTTGAGTTGTAAATCTTGTCGTAGATATCTTCGCTTTTTCAATATGATTTTGCAATGTTTGCTATTCTTAACTTAAAATATATACATGCACGTAAAATTAGAGTGCTTAATTTTTTGTTAAATTATTATTGCTGTGCGTACTTGTTGAATTTTTTGTCCATACGTCACGTGTATAGTCTTTGTCAGAATTGCTTTATAAATATTGTTTTTTATAGCAAATTTTATCTTGTTTCTTATGTCATTAGAGATTTTCTCTTAGATGCTTATCTAATACCATCTGCCCAAATTTCTGCTTCGAAACTTAAAACAAAGCGGCATGAAAAGCTTTCTAATTTATAATTTCACAAAGAAGTATCCAAAACCACAGTTAAGATTTAAAAGGTAATAAAATTCTCAATTCTGATAAATCAATTAGCAATGAATTGCAAACTCCAAGATAAAACGATCTTATTTTCTTAATCTAATTTCAAAGTTCCGATATTGAAAAACAGTAGTTACAAGATTCAGATTATAAAATGATGAAGATCGTTCAATCTTTAATTGGTTACGTTGAATCGGGTTTAACTAATTCAAGAAAACCCTAACATTGCCATAAATGTTGATACGTATAGCCGAAAGGCCACATGGATACAAGGTGAGTCATCGATGCTTTATTGTATGGAAGGCATTTTCTGATTTTCCTATTGCCCGAAATAGCATACACTTCATTAGGCCCATTTTTTCGAGCATAATTATATAAACTAATCAAGAATTACTCTTAAAGCATGTCCTTTTTTTGATTATTTTATTTCACAGGTGTTGATATTCTACTGGCTCACAACTTCTTTTGGAGAAAATAAAGGCAACCCACTAGTAATTTTAAAAGTATATTTTTTTCCCAAGAACTGAATCCAGAATAAAGTTATGCTTCGACGATGATGTCTAAAACACTTTTCAAGTGTCAAAAGACAGAAAAAATGTTGTTCAAGAATATTTTTCTAGTGATGACGAATAAATATATTGTACGGATCTATGTATGGATTTGGTAATAGGGTACTTGTAAAATCCTGATTGGGTAAAGAAAATAATGAGCTGGTTCTCATTATGTGCCAACACTTGGGCGAAGAATAGTGGCTTATCAAGATTGTTTCCGTGATCGAGGAACCCAAGTTAAAATTTATATAATTTAATATGGCTAATGATAGTTCATATTTTCACAGCACATGATTAACTACAGGGTATTTAAGTAAAGTAAATGAAACCAAGTTAAATATATAAATTCGGAGTATTTGATTTCATTTACATTAATAAACAAATAATTAAACACCCATAAATAGTAACAAGTGACTATTATTGAGCATATATAGATACAACGAATACATATATATACACGCACATGTTCAACTACAAACATAAACATAGTACTAGAGAAAATTAAGCACACACCTGTATATTGGTTTTTCTGTGAAAGAGTTTCTTGAGGTATGCTTGATTGGGGAGTTCAAGTCCATCGCCGAAATCATGATCATGATCCTTATCATCAACAACAACAACAAGGATGTAGAAAGGGACCTTGGACACCTGAAGAAGACAAGCTTCTCGCCGAGTATGTTACTTCGAATGGTGAAGGAAGATGGAGCTCTGTTGCTAAGTGTGCAGGTAGAATATTGTGATATGATCGTGGCTATATATATATGCATGCACATGTTACTTATAATCTTCATCGTTGCTATATCATAAGCTCTCAGACACTTGCACAAAAAAAGAAGCTCTTAGACATATTAGTAAGAGAATCTATGTTGTATTATCTCACCGATATGGATCTTCTTTCTTATTGAATATTTTCTTAAAATAAAATTCGTTTCAGGGTAGGTTAAATTAATGATCTTAAAGAATTAACACAATAGTATTAGTTAGTACACATGCTTTCGTGACGATTAACAAAGACAAGTGGGATGATTATATATATGCGTTATAGTTGACTTGATTCTTCAAAATATATTTCATTTTTGTTCTTTCATCCTTTTTATAGTTAGAAATAGGACAATGTCATGGTGGAATAAGCTTTTAGGGCCGGGTTTATGTTTTTAGGAAATCAAAAGATAACCTTATGATTCCTTGTTTTGTGGAGTTGACTTTGATCAGTTTGATAACATTTTTACATATAGTACGCACCTTTTTTTATTCGAACATTTTGGTTGACATCATGTTTAAAAGAAAGATTTGTATACTCATATTACATAGATAAAGATCATCAAGTTGCATTTAAAATTGTACATACATGTTTTGTCAAACCCAATCGTAGTGCCATTTTCAATACTATTTTTCATATGGAACTGAAAATCAGGGTTGAATAGAAGTGGGAAGAGCTGTAGACTGAGGTGGGTGAACTACTTGAGGCCAGGGCTTAAGAGAGGACAAATTACTCCTCAAGAAGAGGGAATCATCCTTGAACTTCATTCCCTTTGGGGTAACAAGTAAGCATATTTTAAAACGCTAATTAAATGCAAGACGCTAAACGCAAACCTACATATTACTCACCATTGCTTGGTTTGAGCCTCATCATTATCTTAGATTTGTATTTGTATACCTACGTCCACTTTATGTCCGTATTCAATTATTCAAACACTTCATGGGCATTTTCATGTAATTTTCTTAAATTATATATAGGTGGTCTACAATCGCAAGATATTTACCGGGACGAACAGATAATGAAATAAAAAACTATTGGAGAACCCATTACAAGAAAAAAGAAAAATCTTTTTCGAAGCAAGACAAAGTTAAAAGATCCCGGAGACAACAGCTAGAGCTGAAGCTGCAACCACAACCGCAACTACAGAATCAATCGTCTCAAGTGGTGTCTCAAGACCACATGAATCTCGACAATGAGCAAAACATAGCTTCCTCTTTCTCTTACCCGACTAGTGTCTTCAATGACCAATTTCATATGCCTCAAAGAGTTGCGGCAACCTCAAGCGATCACTCCATGATCGATGAAGGTAACTTGTGGGGTAGCTTGTGGAATCTAGACGACGATGATCCACACTGTTTTGGTGGTGGTTCGGAACAGAGAACAGCTGCCGATCATATTGTTGAGAAGTTTAACGGCGGTGGAATTGAGGCTCCGTCGTGTGGATCAGGGGGTTATAGCTATAATGGCTTTTACACGGGAGGCTATATTTTTTAATTAGTATGCACGGCGATATAAAAAGAAAGTTGTGTTTTCGTGCGTTTAACAGAATTAAAGATCTCGATTTGTATTTTTATATCTTTAGTAGCGATGTCTTACTAAATAGTAGATCGGAGTAGTGAGGCTAATAAAATGGTTTGGAATATATGTCTCGACAATTCTACTACTTAATTTTGATTCTAAGCTTTACGGAATAATAAATAATAGTGTCAACATTTTTCTCTTCATTTATTGACGTCAACACCATAAACTCAAGCCTTTTAGCAAAAAAAAAAAAACTCCATAAACTCTTTTAGGTAGTAGACATCATGTGATGTATAGCTTCGGGATGCTGACGGGGTGGTCGAGTGTAGAGAACGGTGACAGGTCGAACGGCACAGGACGAGGCTCTATGCAATTGATAAGATGAAAATTGAAGTTCAAGTATAGCCTTAATTTTCAAATAAATATAGGTTTTAGATCAGCTTTATTTTATTTTTCAGTGTAAATGTTCAACTAACCCTTTTCTAGTTTTCGATATTGATGGGCCAGTTAGATACCACGTCGGACTATAAGAAATAATCAATCCAAACCCATTACTAAGCCCAATCATAAGAAAAGTTAACTGATTATATAACGCAAGAAGGAACTTTAAGAATGATCAAAGGGTTAAAGATTATGTATCAAAATAGGCCCGCGAACAAACCTAACTCGCCCAACATTATTATTGGCCATATAAAGAAAAAATGTTTGTTTTGCTACTCTCATAACCAACCAAAACTGAAGTTTATGAACAAAAATAATGTTTATTATATGTTGCGCTGTTTTTCATGAAAATTAGTGATCTTATTCCACTAGAATCATTCTTCATACAATTTTGCTTTATCATCATAATCTTGTCTTTATGTTTTTTTAACACTACTCATATTTTACAAACAAATCACACTTCATAGATAAAGAAGATGTCAATTTCACATGGATAACTCCAATAGATAAACTTTTATCATAGACATGAACAATTTCATCTCCTAACAGACCAAAACCACCAGTCTGTTTTTTTATCTTATAGATTTTACTATTTTTTTCACAAACAAAATAAATAACATACTTTTAATCATTGGAGAAACCATCTAACAATTTTTAGGTGCAGCCAACCTCTCATCCTTTCTTTAACTTTTTCCAACCTTCTGCCTTGAAATTTGTTTAAAAGTGTTCTATGAGCATACTAAATCACAATGAAATCGTTCTTTTTTATACAGCCCCCTAGTCGCAATTTGATATATGATGCATTAACTTGAAGTTTGTCAACTGTTTCAGTACTTAATTTTTTTTTATCCTACCCACTTGGTTATAATAACCGAACTCTTTTTCCAGAAAAGGGTCCGTTTCATAATTATTGTGATGGATGCTCAAAAGGAAATAAAGTTAAAAAAAGGTTGATGGTGCAAATTGGAGCATACAAGAATGGTGCCTAATTATATGCACAGCATCTTCCCTAATTCTCAACTATCTTTGTTCTTTTTCTTTTTCTTTTTTGGGTTTAAGAATCTTCTCATTTTAATTATTATAAGTACCCTCTTATTGTTTTTTTAAAACAATTTTTTGTTACAGTATTAAGAAAGTTCTCCTGCTTTTATTTCCTTTATCCGACGAGCTTGAATGAGTTTTATCACCCATGATAATTTTTCTATTTATTTTCTTACATATATGGCTAGGTATTTAACTACGCAAATAACAAATACAGTTTTATGATAATAAGATTAAAACCAGATTAATCCAAAACATTTGTTGTTATTGGTCAACACTGTAGACCATGGTTTAGATTGCATCACAAAGTACAAATGTTGTTCTTGGATATTTATAGCTAATTCCAAAGCCTTAAATTATAAATATGTAGATTAGTGTGAGTAAAGATTTACAAAACTTTGGTAAGTTTTCGCTTTAAACATGTTGGGAATCTCACAAATTTTTAGATGAGAATGAGCCAACATCCCATTACAATTGATTATGAATTACAAATTGATACAACTTACATAAAAAGAACTTATATATATAGAGATACTAGTGAGCGTTGGGAATAAACAAAAAAAAAAAAGCTATGTCCCTAAATCTCATCAAAGGGTCAATTGCAATATAGAAATGACTTGTCTTCGGAATTGCGACATCGTGTAAGAGTTCCCCTTTGGCCTACATTTGTGGTACCACATCTACTTGATTCTTCAAATATACATATATACACACTAGTTGTTCCCAAGGAGCATGTCATCCATCATCCTAGTAACCCATGTCTTATAATCCCACTAATAAAAATCTATATCGTATTTTATGATAGAACGTTTCTACTTTTCTTTGTCTGACAAAAAAATATCTTATCTTTTAACATTTTTTTACTATTCGGACCGCGAAATCGGATGGTCCCCAAACTTTGATAGCTCAGCGTGAGATTTGAATATTAGGGTTTAGTACAATATGGAAGCCTAATTTATGCATTATGGTCCCCATAATCTTCCATTGTCAAGTTGGTAAATAGTACACTATATTTCGGAAGTTGGTAATGGTAGTACACAGTTTTCACTTAATATATGAATTCTCAAAAAAAAAGTGACTATATATTATCTTAATCTAGTGCAGTGGACCACATGCATTTGAATGTAAACGCATGAAAGGTCTATCGCGCTCAAGTTTTTATTACTAATCAAGTACTAAATCGCATTAACCCATGTTAACCTATCTTTAATTTGCAAGGACCACAAGTTCAGGAACGTATAACTATATACATACACCTATACACTTAGGATTCTTTTTTTACATAACCACAACATAGTTACGCGTAAGGGCGTTACATGTATATATATAGTCCCATGCATCCGTATATACATTATATAAATGTACGTACGTGTCTAAGAATACATTTTGCTATAAGAGTTGCCACTTGCCACCCCTAGCTATAGTTTGGCCTTCTATGAGACGGTCAATCTTCTTAGGTTTATGTTCAAAGTTATTGTCAACGTTTTTATCCTCGTATGAATTTATATGGGTCCTGTAGATGATAACTACTGGTGTTATATGAACCTAGCGTATATAAGCCAAATTCTAAAAATCTACTGGTGTTATATGAAAACATCTTGTATCCAGCGTAGATATAAGTCAATTAATGCATACACATTTTCTTTGGAGAATATTGACTCTTTGTTACTGATCAAAATTTTAAGGGAGAAATCTAGAGAGTCTACGCCTTTGCAGATATTATCAAATGTTTTTCAAGACTAAAAAACATTATAGGACAAATATTGGAAACATTTAATTATTTACCTCTATATATTTAAGTTTCGGTTATTGGACGAGGATGGAGCATATAGACCTAAAATGAGCCTGGGGGCCTACAATGGTGGTCATGGACGGCTCATATAAGCGACGGGATTTACGACGGCCTGAGGCCAGATAACAAATAGGACCAAACATTTTAGTTTTATTTTTGTTTAGAAAATAAATAAATACGGTTACTACTAATAGAAATTCGGCAACGACGGGGAGGGATAGATACGTTCTTCCAAAAAAAATGGTGTATAAGACAGATCAGACATAATATTATATATGAAACGAACAGTGGAAATTAAAAGAGAAAATAATGTGTAAATTTATATAGGTCCACAATTTGTCAATTTGTGTTACGATCTCGTAGCCTATATTTGTTTTTCTTTTTTTGTTATAAAGGTGTTATCCGTGGTTTTCTCTCATCTGGATTATCCAAACTTGGATACAAGAGTTCACACTTATCAAAAGATACTCATTTTTTTCCCGTTTATGCAGATTTGAGTTAACACGCATATACCATCATGTGTTACGGGAAGGGGCTATTTCATAGTAAGTTTTCATATGTATAGAATTTCAACAAATTAAAAATTACTTGATAATTAATTAATAGTTTATAACTTTTATATTTTGCTCATGATTCTATATTATTGATGTATAAGAATGAATTCGATGAGAAATAAAGATAGAAAAATCCCTAACTGAGCGTATTCTCAAAATCGCTGAGAAGCTTATTCAGTCTCGAGATCTAGGTGACTTGGCTCAAGAGACAAGCCGCTTCTCAAGGGCCCAACAGTCTATTTGTAATAGATATTCGTAGTGGCCACTGTCTTTCTTGCGCGATGGAAAATGGAGTTAACAATTGCGGTGGCAGAATTTGTCATTATATATATATTTTTTTTTATTTTTTATTCCCGTTTGTAAATTTTAAAACATTTTTAAAAAAATGAAAATTACATTTTTTATAATCTGTATAAACAGATACCGCAAAATTTCATTTTTTCTGCCTTTTTAGTCGACTAAGATTTATGACTCCTTGATTTTGGATTTGGGATAGTTCATTTGAAGTCACTACAAATTGAGGATATATATACTCTTTATAGAGGTGAAATTATGTGACACACAATAAGGTTTTCTTAGTATTTACAAACTTCTATCAGTCTATGTTTTATTTGTTAAATTCTAAATGTCCAATATAACGTGAATTATCGTGAAAATATAATATTTGTAAGTTGTTAGTTGATCTTCCCATCTAGAATTCTTTTTTATCTCATCTTTTTATCCCATTAAAGGGTTTTTAATCTTTGTCTTTAACGTACAAATAAATAATTTGATCATGTGGTGGTTAACATTGTGATAGGTCAATTTCTTTATTAATATTTTAATGTGTATCTTCTTATCCATTCTTATATTTTATATCATATGGTCAAAGGATCCAATGAATTCACAGCATTTGTTAGTAGAACTTAATCTTGATAATTACAGGTTCTATTATTGAATTAGAACCAGCCAAAATCCGTACAAGTAAAACTAGCAATTCGAGTTAATAAATTTAAAAACTTCATTAACAAATAATAATAATTGATCGTCAAGACTATACATAAATACTAGTTTTCTGCTTTCACTTTCCCTAAATGTATCATTTGATACTTTCACCTTTTTCATCCATATGCATTTGTGTGTATAATATATAAACTAAGTTCACACAAGTAGAAACTTACAAAAAAATATTTGCGTAAATTCTCATCTTACTCTACTTTTTCTTCTCTTTAAGAGTGAGAAACTAGGGTTTTTCTTCTTCTTTTCTCTGGTCAAGGTACCAAGGTCTTCTTTTAGCTTAATTTCTCTTTTGTTTTCTGAGAATTTTTTTGCATAAATGGGAAGGGGAAGGGTTCAGCTACGGCGGATCGAGAACAAGATAAGGAGACAAGTGACATTTTCAAAGCGAAGAACGGGTTTGGTCAAGAAAGCTCAAGAAATCTCAGTTTTATGTGATGCTGATGTTGCTTTGATTGTCTTCTCTCCCAAAGGCAAGCTCTTTGAGTACTCTGCTGGTTCCAGGTTCGGATTGCTTCCCAAATTAACTAATTCATTTAGTTTGAATCTTATTTTACCCTCTGGTTACTTCTTTTTGTAAGATCGCATATCTACCTACCCTTATCTATCTACATATATATTGTATTTCATGTTTTGACAGATTGGGGAAAGTGGTAGGTTTTAGCTAGTGGAGACTAATGTGAAATTGGCTGAGATCTTTCGATTCAATAGATGAAATTATAGCCATGTTGGTGTGTGAGAGTTTAATACAAATGCTAATTAGCTCTTGCATTTCTAATTTAGAAAAGAACATAAGAAAATAAATTATCATCGTCCTTTATAAATAAAATCAAAAGAAGTGAGTAGAGATTATCTCATCAAACCATTGTTGTGAGATATAACAGTTCCTAAATGTGTGTATGTAAACCGAAATACGGCTACATATTAACAAAATTTGATTTCCGAGAACATATGTTGAATACACCATGAAATAATCAGAGATCTTTCTTTTCATTTCTGTGTGAGTTTCTGTTCTTCGACCTTATGGAAAAAGGTGATTTTGCAGAAAAAGGGATCTGCATAAGTTTGATGAGCAAGTTTGATATAAATCTGCAAAAAAAAAAAAAAAAAATAGATTTGCACCTGTATGTTTGGATCAGTGAGTAGATCTATGTTCAAAGGTAGATTACTTTGGCTATAACTTATGTCAGATTGAAGTTTTTTTTTTTCCGGGTTTCTATATTATTGAAGTTCGTTTTATTTACTTCGATTTTTATTTTTTTTATAAAAAAATTATATTTGTAATACAAAATAACACTGATGTTTTTTAAACTAAACCTATTCTGGTAATAACAGAACATACAGAATTTGCAAATGAACACAGAATTTAACTAGAGATGGCAATTCAGTTTCAAACAAATTAATGCAGTATCAATCTGGCGATCTTTCATAATCTAGTGAAAACATAACACAATTTAGAATGGTAACTGTCGAAATATAATAGTAAGAAAAGAAAGAAAAAGAATACTAGGAGACATATGATGATGCCGTTCAAATTATCCCAATGTCCTAGGTTCATGTAAATTATGATAGTTCTCGTATTTTGATAAACGCTATCATTAATGAACTAAGAAAAAAAACACAAATCTACTATATATAGGAAGAAATTATCATATAAATTTTTGGTGCAAATTGTCATCTTTCTAGGGATGAATTTCGTATTGAAATTATCTAAATGTACACAAAATTACTAAAGAGAGAAACCAAATTTACTATAAATAGGAGTGAGCTTTCAATCATGATTGTAAAAATAATAAACATGAAAGTAAGATTTCACTATGTGGTACTGTGTTATCATAAACCTTAAAGATATACAGTAAGATGTTGGAATGGCAACCCTTTGTCATAGAGCTTTGTGCATTGTTTTGTCTTTTTATTGGTCCAACCTAGGACTAACCTCGATCTCCACACGAAAATATTTATACACCCATGATGTTACGTTTCTAGCTTCTGAGCTTTTAGTAGTATGTCTAAAAATGAAATTGCTTGCAAACATGTAAGAAATTTGATCGGTTTTGATCTATTTATTATTTCAGTCTAAGCATGCAATACTGTAAAATAGTGTATAAAAACCCGCTCGTGGTAGTATACGGGTATTTGGGGCTAAGGCCATTGTCGATTTTCCTAGTATGCAATTGGTAACTTGGACTTTGGTTTAAGGGCTTTATACCTACGGTATGTTTGCAGAAAACTCTTTACCAAAAAAACCTGCTCATTTTTGGAATTAGTCAGACGTTTTGATGAAACTTAGTATAAAAACCAATGTTAAAAATGTATATGTATGCAATGTACTAACCATTATATGCGTGATGCATATGAATTTTGAAATGTTTATTTATTCTTTTTCCAAAACTAGATAAAGAGTTAACCAATTAAAGTAAATTAATGATTATCCAAGGTGTTAATTCGAGTTAAATTAAACGATGTTTAGCATGGAGAGAATTCTTGATCGATACGAGAGATGTTCATACGCCGGTCAAGATATTCCTGCACCAAGTTTGGATTCACAGGTTCTTATTAAGCGCATCAATTAAGATTGTAGTTTTTTTGGGTCAGAAATCAATATTATAATTTAGCTAATTAATATTGTTTGATCTACTTCTTCTGGTGGTTTGTAGGGTGAGTGTTCAACAGAGTGTTCAAAGCTCCTGAGGATGATTGATGCTATGCAAAGAAGCCTAAGGTTAGAAACTTATGACTAAATGATCATCCATAATAAAACATCATTTATTATTTACTTAAACACAATTTAATGCAATATACGAACGATTAAAAACAATAAAAACAATATACTAATTTTGCATTAAAAGTTGAAAAATTATATAATTTGAAACAATGTTTGTTCCTAAAACATCTTTTTTTTTTTTGGTCGAAGACATGGTGGAGAGTTATTTTTTTTTGGTCGAAGACCCTAAAACATCTTTATTGTGAAACAGAGAGAGAGAGAGAGAGTTATAAAATGCATCTTCAGTTAATTAACTTATTTATTTCGTATAACAAGGCACTTAAAAGGGGAAGAGGTGGATGCTCTAAGTATCAGAGAGCTTCAGGGTCTGGAGATGCAACTTGATACTTCCCTCAAGAGAACTCGCTCTAGAAAGGTTCTTTAATTTATATATATATATATATATATCCACAAAACAGTATACTATATCTTGTATATACATGCATGCATGGATCATTTGTCAAAAAAAGTGTGCATGTCGAATAATGCTCAGTGTGTGGATGCATATATTTACACAGATATATAGATAAACTACATCTAATCATGTAGCTATTGTTTTGGGTTGGAAATACAGAACCAGCTCATGATAGAGTCCATAACGCAGCTCCAAAAAAAGGTAACATGCTGATTAAAAGACAATTAGTCTTTGTTATGGTGTTTTTGTGCTATTGGATTTGTACAGATCACAATACATATTTTAAATCTAGTATACTTGAGCTTCTAAACCAGTTAACTTAACCTATGTGCGATCTTTTGTTGACATAGGAGAAGGAACTTAAAGAACTGAAGAAACAGCTAACAAAGAAGGTGAAACGGATGTCATAGTCTTTGACTATATATGTATATAAGTGATTTCCTATTAAACGTAGAGTTTAGATAGCCTTAAAAAGCTTCAGTGGTCAATCTAGGTTTTAGTCTAGAATTTCTCGATTAGATATATTTCATTTATGTTTGAATGTTAAATCAACTACAAAACGAAAAATAGTAACTATAATTAACAAGTACTAAATTTGACAGGTTGATCAAAGAGAGGACTTTGAGCCGCAAAACCTCAGCCAAGGCTTAGCCTCTTTGGCAATGCAGCCGCCATGTGAGCCACCGCACCCGTTGCCTCCACCTATATCTCCTCCTCCTCCTCCTTTATCTCTTAGGTACTATAAATTTTCAGTTTTCTATATATCGATATAGGAGCTACGCATATTTCAAAAATATTATAATGTGTTAATACTAATTAGTAAAATTTACTGATAGGGACACATCGCAAAGTTTTGAAGCTGGAGAAGTAGATGCCGGAACCCTAACTCGGCCGACCAACTTAACGCTGCCGCATTGGATGCCCCGTGTCACCGAAGAATAGAGAGGTCCGAAGGCCTTCTTGGTTTGCTAATTTTCAGTTATAGTATCGAAATAACTTCTCGGTTTATGTAGAACCAAACCGAAACTAAGACAATATTTTCGGTTTGGTTTTGACATTATGGAACCTAGCTAGCATAGGATGTCCTCAAGTTTTAAACTTCGAACGAATGTTAGAAAAATTGTATCGCGAATGTGATTTTGTATATTTTATTTATGATTGCGACTTACATATTTTTGTGAATTCTTTTTCTTTCTGGTCAGCAAAAGGACACACTTGCAAAAACTATTTGACTATGTATGATGAATTTCTTTTTGGGTGGCTAACACCCTTTTAAATGTAACTAGCTTAAATTATTAGGATTTTTAGCCCCTGAAAAAGCGATTGATGATGGTGTTATCAAGACCATGTTTGTTAATTAATTAGCTAAAACTAGGTGAGCTTTGACGCTTAAATGTTGATTAATTAGGTTTAGGACTAGAATGTTGGAGTTAGAGTTCAGATTTCACAATTTAGCATTATATATAAAAAGATGATAAATTTCTAAAACTTGTCAAATTTCAAAAAACTTATGAAAATTTTCAAATAAATTGTTTTAATTTTCTTAAATTATTGGAAACATATTTATATTATTCAAGAATTAAACCAATATATAGGTTTTGCTTCAACAAATGGTATGAAGCACATGTTATAAATTAAACGACAATTGTATGGTTTTAGAAACTCGTGAAATGTTCCAACTGATGAACCTTTTTAATACTCTTCTTGCCTTAATGACTTGATCACGAAAGTATTTAGGTTTAGCATCATAGGGCAATGGCCTTGGAGGAGAATGGTTTAGAGAGAGATAAAGAGAGAGAGAGAGAGAGAGAGAGAGAGAGAGAGAGAGAGAGAGAGAGAGAGAGAGAGAGAGAGTCATCAAGAAAAAAGATATAGAAAGAAGGTACGGGTTAGGTTAAATCCAATTAAAAGAAAAATCTTAACACTTGAAATTTTCAATTACGAGACTAGCATAAGTAGTTTTGCTTGACACATGTTAAAAGCAAAAAAGGATGCATAAAGTAAAGTTCATGCTTATTCGTGAAGTTGTGGTTTGAAGATGTAAACGTTTTTTAAATTTATGTTACATTAATCCCTTCGCCGGAGACAAAACTTTTCCGGCGCAAAAGAGCTCAAGACAGTGATCCCTTTCAAGCCTCATTTTGTCAATTTCTTTTGATCGAAACTCTCATAGGAGTGGACAATCCGGTTTACAGATTGATTTTAGGAAAATAATGAAACCATTTCCTAAAAAACAAAAAAATTCAGTTCTATTTTGGTTTAACTATTTTTGGTTTGGTTCGGTTTGGTTTGCTTTGCTTTTTGACCCACATGTTTCTATCGATCACCTACTGAACAGTTCGACCCGGATCCGTTTCATTTTTTTCAAATCTGGAGAACTCAGAGTTGCCCTCATCATCACTGAGAGTCACTTGCAACAAGATTCGGGTTTCATCTCTTCGATTCTCATTTGGATTCTCTCTATCTGAATCATCTGACAAATTCCAGCGATATCGGTCTTCTGGGTTCCCAGATCTGTTCGTCCCGTCTCTTTCTCTATACTCAAATCGGTGTGTGCTCCATTGCCGGAGATTTGAAGCCCTAACTCGCTCGCCCTCCTCTTAGCTCATGCTCGTTTAGCTCTTTTTGGCTGCTTTCGTGCAATCTATCCAGGTATCGAAAAGTTACATTGCTGGTTCGATTTTCGCAAAAACCTCAACTTGTTGATGTCAATTTTGGGCAATGTACTCAAATGAGCGAGTAGAGATCTAGAGAATCGAAAGGGTTGTGGTGAGCTATATAAACCCAGAAAAATGCAGAGCGTATCGAGCTCGGCTCCAACACCGGAGGCCATATTAGAATGGCTTCAGAAGGAAATGGGTTACCGGCAATTAGGCCCGAGCAAGTCCCATGTGCCTTCTGTTGATGCTATAAGGAAGATTTGTAGAGGGAACATGATACCAATTTGGAGTTTTTTGATAAACCGAGCGAAATCAGAGAAGACTGTTGAGAGCATTAGGCGTAACATCACGGTTCATGGGGGTAGCAGCGATGCTGGTGTTGCCAGTTCTGTAAATCCTGTGAAGGAGGAGAGTAAGGCTAAAGGGAGGCGAAAGGAGAAGGCGGTGGCTGGGGAGAGTTTGAGTTCCGCCGAAAGCAGAGAGGCTGCATTGCACGAAAGGGAAATGGCTGCGAAAGAGGTGGAGAGGTTGAGGAACGTTGTGAGGAGGCAAAGAAAAGATCTGAAAGCGAGAATGCTAGAGGTCTCAAGAGAAGAAGCTGAACGGAAGAGGATGCTTGACGAGAGGGCAAATTACAGGTTTGGCTTGACTCATAACTTTCATTTACTTTCGGCGGCAACATAACTTCCATTGTTTATGTGCAGTTGATATTTTGAAATGTTTCATGAAATTTTGTTCTTTTTACAGGCATAAGCAAGCAACGCTGGAAGCTTATGATCAGCAATGTGACGAAGCAGCAAGAATATTTGCAGAGTATCACAAAAGGCTTCAAATCTACGTTAATCAAGCGAGGGATGCACAGATGTCGAGTTTAGATTCTTCGAGTGATTTGTCGAGCAAGCTCAGCACTAACATCGAGAGGGAAGCGGTTTATTCCTCTGTCAAAGGAAGCAAGTCAGCAGATGATGTCATTCTCGTTGAAACGACCCGAGAACGGAATATCCGGAAAGCTTGTGAATCACTTGCGTCACACATGGTTGACAGAATATGTAACTCTTTCCCCGCTTACGAAGGAAGTGGAATTCATTCCCATCCTGAGCTGGAAACTACCAAGCTGGGTTTTGAATATGATGGAGAAATATCTGATGAGATGAGAGCTGTTATACTGAACTGCCTGAGTAGTCCTCCTCTACTCCTTCAGGCTATCGCAGCACACACCCTACGCCTTAAGACCCTAATATCCAAAGAGATAGAGAAGGTCGACGTCAGAGCCGATGCTGAAACATTGAGGTGCCTCTCTACTTTCCTTAAAATGCCTCTATCTAAATGTGCAACTCTGCTTCACCCGGCTTTCATTCACTTGAATGCACCTTTGCATGCTGTTTCTGCTTAATTCTTAAAACTGCAGAGGCAGATTGAGCAACGTATCATACAAAGTGAAAGCTACTTAGTCTTCTTTTTTGGCAGTATGTGTCTTATCTGGTCGATATAGGCTGTTCCTGGACTTGCTTTTACACATGTTTGATCAGTGATTTATTATCCGAATGAGACATCTGTACTCTCTTTAGTTCATGTTCCAGTATATTGATTATCTAATGAAAGCTATTTGATGTCAACCAAATCTGCAGGTATAAGTACGAAAACAACCGGGTGATGGAGATTTCTTCTTCTGATGTGAGCTCGCCGTTGAGTTATCAGTTTAATGGTAATGGGAAGACAGCCACAGATTCTAATTCCAAAGGATCGAACAATCAGCTCCTTGAACGACAGGTTGCTCTCCTTATCTGATTTTTCTGGTTTCTTGTTATTTCAGCATATAATGTTTAGAAGGACAAATTCCGGGCTTACTGTTTAGCAATGGCTTAGCTCGCACATATGGATTTGTTTTGATCAGCTGCAGCATTACACTCGCTGCACTGTATGATCATATGTTTAGAATCCATTTATCTCATCTTGCACGCATGCGTGTATCCAGAAAGCACATGTGCAACAATTTTTGGGAACTGAAGATGCACTAAACAAAGCCGCAGAAGCCCGGGTTTTATGTCAGAAGCTTAAAAACCGTTTGCATGGAAGTGCTGACGCAGTTTCTTCACATTCACTTGGTGGAGGCACGTCACAGAATGTTAGAAATCTTAGGCAATTTGAGGTAAATGCCAGACTTTCCTTGGTTTCCATGATTTATGTTTGCCTTAGTAAATTTATCTATACATCTTCATCCAGTGATCTAAAACAGATTTCTCTCCAACTTCTTTCCTTTAATTAATTATGCAGTTATACTCTTATTTTTAACAACACCGGAGTTCATTATATTTCGTTTTACAGTCCGCATTATATAGCATATTCAGTTATCAAGAATGTCCAGTTTGAGATTAGTATACTAGCTTGACCAAGCTATCTAATTTTCCTTGGCAGTTGGACGTATGGGCCAAGGAACGAGAAGCTGCTGGTTTGAGGGCTAGCTTAAATACATTGATATCTGAAATACAACGGCTGAATAAATTATCCGCGGAAAGGAAAGAAGCTGAACATTCTTTAAAACAGAAGTGGAAAAAAATTGAAGAATTTGATGCTCGCAGATCCGAACTTGAAACCATATATACTACTCTTCTCAAGGCCAACATGGTAATATTCCAACTGATTTTGTCATTGAATTAAAAAAATATATTAATTGCAATTGGCACAACTCTGTATCATGATTTTTGCTCAGGATGCTGCTGCATTCTGGAATCAGCAGCCACTAGCTGCAAGAGAATACGCAATGGCCACTATAATTCCAGCTAGTGAGGTTGTTGCAGACATTTCAAAGAACGCTAAAGATTATATTGAGAAAGAAGTGTCTGCTTTCTTCCAAAGTCCTGATAACACCCTCTATATGCTTCCAGCTACTCCCCAGGTCAGTCTTTTTTCTTCACATCTCTCTGATAACAATCTATACGGTATATTTCAAGCAGATTTGGAGAGATTTTTAGAAGACACTGAATACTTATTAATTGAAAATTGTGATTAGTTATACAAGGATTATTTTGGCTGCGAGTTAGAAATTCATTGAGCATAGAGGAAGTTTAGTAATTTGGTTTTCTTGGTTTCATTTCTGTAGCGGAATGATTATCAGTAAGTTTCATGCTATTTTGTTGTAGCAAACTTGTATGTTCATATCTATGCTTTTCTTAATAAGGCCCTTCTGGAGTCTATGGGAGCTAATGGGTCAACAGGACCGGAAGCTGTTGCCTCGGCAGAAAAGAATGCTGCTTTGTTGACTGCAAGAGCTGGTGCAAGAGA